GCTGAATGAAGAACAGTTCCCTTTGAGTTTGTTATCGCATACTAGAAAGCAAATAGTGAGAAACGTTTATGGTATTACTTTCTAATCGAATACCGACTTTATTTAGAAAGGAAATAAAAGGCAATATTTACGATTTTGAACGAATCCTTAATAAACAACAAATTGCAAAGAAGACGTTTTATAAAAATGGGCATAAGATTGCCCACGTATGTACAATATAACGTATGTTGTCTAGTTTAAAGCATAGATAGGAGGAAATACGAATATGAACTAAATCGAATTTACATACTTTTTGACCATCCAAGACACTCTCTTGCCAAACAGTGCGGCGAATTGTAGATTCAAGAAGTAATTGCATATTGAGTTGATGCAACATAACCATCTGTAGAGAATTTTGTTTAAAATAACTAAAACTACTACGATGGGATAGGGCACGTCACTACACACCCTACACCTTTTGGCTGAATACAGTTACTCGCAATATATTACTTACTTACAAGGTGTTATAGGAGAAGTAATCGAAAAAATAGTCCGATCCAAACCATTTGCAACAACATTCGTCTTCGGTCAAAACAGGTCGAGGTACTAAATGTCATTAGAACAGCTAAAAAATGACGATCTGTGGATTGAGCGCAGGAAAACACAATGGACAGACGGACAGACAAGCTTAGCTGGGTACAACAAACGGTAAGTCCATTTCAAGTCCTTCTTCATATTGCTTACACCCGAATAAACTTAATGTTCCTCTCTACCACAAATGGTGTAGGGCTTAAAACTGTATGCTAATTGTGTTTATTTTTCATAAATGAAATCAAGAATTAATTTTGAATGGTCTATCCACACGAATTACATACAAGAAACCTATCAAAATAATGTAGCAAGAGTTAAGATTGCGATAACGATAATGAAAATATTTGTCTTGTTTTAGTCGCAAGCGTTAAGTCTTTCTCATAATACCAGTTACCTGGTAAAGGCAACTTGTGATATTAATATCACGTTTACCCGTACATCGAAGAGCTTTAGGTGAGTAAGAAACAAACAAATATTATCGTAGGACCATAGCACAACGCCTCGATTAGGGACCTTCTTAAGCACAAAAATACTTATAAACAAACTTCACAATTATTCATTCAAATGTTTCTATTAACACACATACCAACGTTTATGTCATTTTTTAAGTCATTACTTAATCTTATTGTATTGTGTTATTAGTTTAATCCTTTAGCAGTTGAACGTTTAGTTTTTTGAAAACTCGTTTAAGCAATTTTTCTGGTTGACTTAGTAGTTCAGTGCGTGTGTAGAAAGAATGCAAACAAACGAAAATAGAAATTCACGAGAGATACTTAAAGAATGCATAACAATAAAAATGTGTACATATATGCATAGAAATGTCTATGCATAAGTACACATTTTTATACAAACGGCGATAACACACAGGTCACACAAGTGCGGTCGGTGTACGTAAACGACAAGACGTTAAGTGCAAGTGGAGCATAATAAATAAAATTATGACAATGTTTTTTTGCGAAGTTTGAAAAAGTAAAATACATCATAAAAAAAAGTAATCGTAAAATGATAAACAAAAATAACGTTATAGCCGAGCAAGCCTATATACCTTACACCACTTTGCCTAAAACATTCATTCTTCATTAATCTTCATTACAAAATACCCTATACTTACACCGCAATCCTAATAAGAAGACCACCAATGTAGTTTAAACTTATGTCTTAAGTTTTATATGGCGGTTTGTATGGGAGGAGGTTCAAGAAATGGTTTAATTGATTGAGAAAATATGTTCGAATCGATTTTCGCCGAGAATTACTAAAAATTGGAAGCCTTTACATTCCGAAGTAGGGCCTTGTGAGTGTCCCGAGCGACTCATTTTTAACTGCCCTTGCCTTCGGATCAAACTACTATAGGGTTGTATTTTAAAAATTGTCACCTGATGTTTTACTACACCAAATACGTAAAGCGGCATCAAACAGAGAGACAGACAGACGACCGCTAGACAAAAACGACCAAATTGCTTAGTATGGAGAAGGATAGCTTCATCTGAGATGATTTTGGCTATTGTATGCCGCCTTACAGACGTAATATACTCCACCGCAAGTGGTGTAAGGGATGAACTGTAAAAATCGGTATGTATAAGTAATGTACACATTCTTGGTTTAATGGAAATATACCTTCAAACGAAATGAATTCGAATGGAACTAATGTGAAAAATTAAAACCTACAAAAGAATGAAAAAACTAATATTTTAATATAACAGAAGAAAAAGAACACCTTAATAAAGAAGTAAATGTTAAATTAAATTAAATAGAAAATGAAAAACAAAATATATTCGTCTAAGGACGAATCTTTGATAGCCACCACGCGGAGGTCAACTTATTTGACATTTAAGTCGCTAACGGCATATGATTCGTAAAACGCAAACTTAAAGAATTGAGTGCAACGACGACGAGAAATATATATACCGAGTGGGTGGGTGGATAAGTAACGAGTGTAACGAAGCAACGAAGGAGATGAGAAATAGAGACCAAGTAAAAACGTTATACTCACTTTGATTAGTCGCTAAGCGTTGTTTTTAATTGCGCTTACGTTCTTCTTAAACGGTCTTCGGTTAAGACTGTTAATTTTATTTTTATCCTATTAAGGTTCGTTTTCAATCTATTGAAACAAGCTTTTAGTTGACTAATAAACGGATTGTTTAACAGACACTCTTAACTGGAACATAAATTGTTTGCTTCTCAATAACCCATGGTTTACTCAGATTATTGTGATTGGCTTTTCACATATGGTAATTGACTTTTTATCTGTTGTGCAATCGTCCAATTGCACAAGAGTGCTAATTATTAGGTTGAGCAATAAGTAACTTCCGTTCTCTTAAAAGACATTTAATTTTTTTTTTTTGATTGAGTAACAAAATTATATTAATTTGACGGTCGATTGCGAGGTACTCAACCTTTTTGCTGTACCTCCAACATTGCCGTCAAAGTCACAAGGGAGGTCGTATCCCCAGAACGGAATTTTACAAACCAATTTCTAACAGCCCGATCAGTTATCATTTCTCCAACGTATACACTGCATATTTTTTCGTCTGGCGCCTTACTTACACTGTAAATGCCCAAAGCATTAGTGCATGCGCACTTTTTGACTCTCCATTCAGAGGTTAAGAAAAACATTTGATCGTAACATGCGCCACATGAAACCATTGGCGGAAGACTAACTGAATCCTCATCCGTATAGTGAAAACAAAAACTCGTTTGTTTCGGTGACTTTTAGTGGGTAAATGCGAACAATAGATTCCACCTACCTGCGTCGGAAGTTATTTATGACTAGACCTAATTTTTAGAACACTTGTTCAATTTATCTTTACTTTCGTAAGGAGCATATTTTTTTGTTGTGATTCTTTTTACGAGCTATTTTGTCACTTAGTAGATAACTAGAAGAGATTTTTAAGTTAAATTGAATTATTAGGTGGAGTACAATTGAACATCGTGAAATGGATGTCATTTTAACTCGGAAATAAATTTAAGTAACATTTAGTTTAGTATTTACTATAAACGGCCCTACGTTGTATATGCAAGTCTGCGCTATAGAAACTAAAGTAATGACAAGAATATTTATAAATTTTTTCACTTTTTGTGTTTTGCAAACGTAGTTCCTAAGCCCATACGGTCTTAGACCGTCAGTAGACCAATCACTCACGGAATGTCTACTTTTCTTGTAACTCGGTGACGATCAAAACGAGGTGAGAGAAGAGAAAGAGATGGCGGTCGCAATCTAGTGAATGCCTTTATCGATTGAAGCGCTCACCATAACTAAGGTCAAAATAACCTCCACGCGAGCACTAACTTCGTTGTCAGTCTCTCAGTCCTTCTCAGGAATCTCATCAACCCATATCGAGCTCACTTTTATAGCCATAAGTGTTATTTGATTGTGCATATCTACATATCTTCTATAGCGTATTTTCAGTCACTGTAAGCATTTTGAAAAGACTCATGGTCTTAGATTAAATCGGCCCAACCTAAGTCGATTTCGATAACCCAACGAACTCTGGCAGCTAAGTAATGGAAACTATGGAACACTAAAACGAAAAATTTTAAACTTTTGATAAATTTGAGTAAATTGCAGGTCATTTTAGGTGATTGCTAAAGCCCATCTAAGAAGTTAGGAATAAGCAAATTTTAAATGAAAGCAGTCTACAGCAGTTTCAGGTGAAAGTAATTTTCAACAGAGAGACAGGCAGGCAATTTTCCTAGTGACACAAAACTTGTAGTTCTTATCTTATCTCTATATTTTCCAGAGGTTATTCTTTTTAATTTTCATTTGGGAAAAAAGCACACAATCTTATTCCTGGCGTTAGGACAATTATTTCCATTTCCTCTTCTTCTGGCTTATCATTATTATTATTATTATTATTATTGTATGGGTAATCCATAGCGCGACCTAAAAAATCTATTGTACCCGCCCGTGTCCCTAGTCCTCTATTTTTAGGGTTCGTATGAATCGCGTCACCTTTTCTGGTTCGGAGCGTCTGCGTTATGTAGTGTTCGTGAAATGCTTGGATTCTGCAGACAGCCTCGTATTCACATAGAATATATGCCCCTTGGAAGAATCTGTGATTCGGTATCGGAGATATATCCATGTTTCTCAGATGGCACCCAGATGACTTCTATAAGACACTCGGTTTCATGTTGAAAATATTTGACAAACTTAATGTATTTCCGATGGTGGATATGGCAAAATGAATAAATAATGTGTACTTATAATAAAGAAATACCGTAAATATTATTAAAAACTAATAAAATATTGAAAACAAAATTTAAAAAAGGAAAGATTTTTTTTATACTGTGTTAAATAAGTGTAAAGCCTAAAACTTAAGTAAATCGCTTTTGTTTTTGTTATTTCATTTAAGCCATTTTTATATGTATATATATTAAGTAAAGCAGTAAAATGAAAAATGTAGGAAAAAAGGAATCTTTGTAAATGTACTCACCAAGTGATTGAGCATAAATCGCTAAAAATATCGAGAGGAATGAAATTGCCAATAATTTTGCCTCCATCTTTGGTATTGATCCGTGGTTTGTACTTTAATCCTTACTTTTGGTAGAATTATTAATTTTATTATTATTTCTTGATTTTTAATTTTAATTATTTTGCAACTTTATTCAACTATAAAGATTTAACAATATAGTAATTTAATAATAATGGTGTTATTGTTGTTATTATGGCTATGGATGATAAATTAATATAATAACAGTGATGTGTGATTACGATGATGATACCGCACGCGCCTAGATTTCCTGTAACTCATCCACGCGCTCTTTCTTTATTTTCTGCAGTAGATAAAATAACGTATTTATTTTTATTCTTTTCAACGTTGATTTATGATTGATTTGATGACGTTTTATTATTATTATTATTTTTTTTTTAATCTAATCTTTTTGTTCTAAATTTGATTTCGATTTAACGATTCTGTTTACCTTATATGTTAATTCTAATTAAGTTTTAATTTATTTAAAAATTTTAGTGTGGGTTTTTTTTCCTGGGAGAGCAAAACTTATTTAATTTTTTTTTATTTTTGTTCTTCTTCTTCTTCTTCTTCTTCTTTTAAATGTCGTCGGCTTTTGTTTTTCTTATTCTAATAATAATAATCGTCTTTATAGTCTAAGCTGCGTAAAAGAGAAACGAAATCATACCATAAAGTATAGAGAGAGAGAGAGAGAGAGAGAGAGAGAGACGGAAAAGAAGAAAGTTTAAAGAGAATACAACAATAAAACGTGAAAGAACGCGGAAATGCGCTTAAACCGAACTTTTTATTACCCATCATTTACTTACTTATTTAATCTACAGAGTGTTTGTAGAATTTGTCAAAAGTTACAATGTCAAGTTCAAATTTTTATCGGTTTTTATACCTTACACCACTTGCGGTATGGTGTATTAAGTTTGCATGGATATTGGCAACGTTCATAAAAGCTTAACATTAACCAATGTTTTATTATCCATAAATCCGGAATCATTCCCTAGATCGATATAAATGTGCCTCCCTGTCTAACGTTCAAGTTCTCAAGTTTTACGATTTCTTGATTCACCTGGCATATTGATATCTTCTGGACCAATTGCAAAAGCTATTAAAAATGGTTTGAATCGAACAATTGAACAAAGGCCACCCACCATATACAAGGCCTTTTTAAAAAAATATCCATTTTTAATCATTTGTTTTCCACATATGGAGAATTGGCATCTTCAATTCACGCCTTTCTCGTAGTGGTAACGTCAGCTTCGCTAATATTTGATATCAATCAGGAACGTTCTATTTACGGGTTTGAACAATGTTCGACTATGATTGTCAGAATAATTTGAACAGATTTTCAATACGTATTCTTAACATTTTTAAACCAACCCATATGACAATTTTTGGTCGGGAACATTTCGTCTGCATAGCTGTAGATGGTTGCCAAGCAATCATGAAATCATGATTTCTTCAAAACTTCTCGATTCACATGCAAACTGTGGAGGGTTAATAAAAATCGGATTGAGCCCAACACAATTTTTTTACAGTGTTTTTAATGACTAAGTTTTACAAACGCAACTTGCTGTGGAAGCAACTTTTTGTAAAAACGCATATCGTGACGTTCACATCAGCGTTGGCAAAAACAAATGCATACCGATATGCATAACATTACCTACAGCTGCGATACAAGCAAGCAAACCATAATATACGTATTCATAATCACTTAACACTATCCACTTCGGACCATATCTGAACGAACCATAACAGGGGAAACAAAATGTATTTCAATAAGATTATTAGTCAAAGCAAACTAAAGAAAGGATCTTTAATTTTCAAATTTCTAATGATCGACCTTGACAACTTTTGAACATAAACTAAGGGACGACAATAAAACGAGGGAAGTAAACAAGAAGTGTGCTTTTCTAAACCATTTGAGCTAACGATTAGGACAAACTTAGGAGCAAACTTAATGCGCTGTTCGGATTAGTTACGACCATACTGGCGTCCTGATTTGTATTTGTTTTACAAATAAAATCTTAAAAAATCGCATCACATCGCAAGCTGTTATTTTGATTTTTTTTTATTCTTTTTTTTTTTTTTTTTTTTTTTTAGATCAGAATAAAAAACACAAAATTAAAAAAAATCGTTGCTTTTAAACCGCAAACAGTTTTCATTTCAATACGACGTCATTATATGTGCAAGAGAAACAAAGTTGACGGCGTCAACAAATGTTGAAAACGCATACACTTTTTTTATATAAATGAATCTAAAGCATAGATCGAAAGAAAATTGCATATACGTTCGTGTATGTCTGCTGAAGGCCCAGACGATTTAAATGTTTTCATTTATTTATTTATTTATTTATTTTTATTTATTTATTCCTCGTCTTATTGGCAAAAGAAATTTTATTCGAAAAGACTTGTGTTTTGTTTCTCTTTTATAGCAAATTTACACATATTTTCATACACTTAATAGACGCAGCCAAAAAGTTGATATTTTAAAAATTTCTAATAACACAAATAATTTAATTCATTTCTTTCTCTTTCACTCATAAACAAAATCTTTGAATTTTTGATTGTACTAACCGTTTAATACAAAAATAATTAAATAATAATTTAATTAATCAATTTTTCCAAGTTGAAAATTACCCCAACAAAATTGTATTAATCTGAAGAGAAAAAAAATGAAAAAAAAAAAAACGAAAACAAACACGCGCTAACACACAATTAACACGTCGTGGTTAAAAAAAAAAAAACGGAACAACTGAAAATTCCGTAACAGCCTTCAACGCGAGCAAGTACGAACTTGTAACTAAATTATAAATAATTCTTCGCTCGCTCGCTTCTGCACACGACAACATCAAGAACTCAAGTGAGATGGCGTGAGAAATAGTTATCAGAATGTGCATAAACCTAATGCACACATTCACGAACACACTCGCTCGCACACACACACACACACACACACACACGCGCGCACCAATTCACCTCTCTTTAGTCTGCTTACATCAGTCAGTCATTCAATACCAAATAAAATGAAAAATAACGTAAATTATAGTCGTATGTGTTTTTTTTCCCCTTTTTTTTATCTCTTACAACGCGATAAAACTTTTATGCTTTTATTTTTCAAACTACACAGCAGTTATAAGAATTATTTTCATACCATCAACCGTATCTTGAAAGTATGTTCAATTTTACGCATCGTTTGTACATCAGAAAATCATACATACATCAAATCATGTACCGAGCGGAAATAAAAGATTCGGGCCAGATTAGTCGAATTCCAATTTTCACACGCTCTCAAGCGCTCTCCCCTTCTTGGTTTTGCAGATCAAATTTAAAAATAGTCTTGATCACTCCATAAACGCGTTCGGAATCTATGAATCACAAAAAACGATAGACAATATGAAAAAAATTGTATACCTGTTCGCCAGGTGCGTTTGTACTTTATTGTGCCACCATTGTGTGGAATTTAAATGTTGTGCGGTTATATTTGACAGTTGCGAAATGTAGCCATTACAAATATATTATGAAAAAATATTCAATAAATAATAATAGAATTTATTTATAAGGAGATATTAGCTATAGTTGAATTAAGCCGAAGCTCTTATAATCCATCGTACATCTATTTTCTTACTGACAACATCGTTAATAAATATACATTTAGACGCTCCATCAGTAGTATTATATCTTGCAGAAGAATTTGTAAGACCTGACAGGGACCTAGACAAAGTCAATATAGGAATATAAAAGTGTTACCTGACTTGAGCGCTGCTGAAAATATTTTCATATTCTCATTTTCTCTCGAATTCGTTTTTTAATTAATTCAACGCAGTACAACATTTCTTTTTTGTTTCTTCCACTTCTTCTGAATAGTATTATACCTTATGCCCCTTGTAGTACAATTATTAAGTTAATGCGGATGTATACAACATTCAGAAGGACTTGATATAGGCCCACCTTAGAATCATCCTGCCTGTCCGTCCCTTAATGCTGTTTTCTTGAGTTCAATCTACAGATCGTAATTTTTGAAATATTTTGATTAAATTTGGTATACCGATATGTATTGATCCAAGGTCAAGCATTATTGCGAAGAGCTCGCATCGGCCATCATTTTTGATAAGCAAAAATTTATATATGAAATAGCTATTTTAGCAAACTGTCAGCTTACAAAGGAACCGAAATTTTGCAAAGTTATTATAATAAACATTTATAATCAAAAATGTACGAAATTTTGCTAAAATCCAAACATATCAAAAACTCCAATACGAACAATTAAAAAAGTGCAGTAAATAATTGTAAACTGTGTAGAAGTAGATCTTAAAAATTTTCCTTCTGATAAGCAAAATAATTTTTGAGATAAATCACAATGAATAACTCAGCGTTTTTATCAAACAACCACTATACTGCTTACCAAATTATATTTCATGCACAAAATACGTTCCTTGCATTCATGCACATGTATGTGTGTAAACTAAAAACATGATAAGCAAAAATATGTTTTCTACTATTTAATATTCGTAGATATCCGCTCTTAGTCCATATCTCTCTCTCTCTCTCTCTCTCTCTCTTTATCTGTTCCTCTCTGTCTTTGTCTCTCTCTCTGTATTGATGTGGAGTTTTCACACCATATATAGAGCTTATCTTTACAATGGTTATGACTACTATTAGTTTGTTTACTTGTCGGCTTGTATGCGAGTGCTTATGGAAAATTTACATCCTTCAAAAAGATACAGATTTCCTATCAGTTTTCTGTGCGTATTAGTAAAATTTCATTCATTTCATTTGCAAATAGTTTAACAACTAAGTTTATGATCTTATATGCATTGGTTACGTTGCAACCAGTTAGCGTTACGCTTGCTATGGTATTCGTTTCAAATGTAAATAAAGAATTTATTTATTGTTTGCACTTCAGACTAATTAAAACAATTACTATGGCAGTACAAATTTACGTACGTGCCTAAACATATAGATATGTTTATATAAGTATGTTTAAAAACAAGTAGGAAAAGAATGTAAGAGCAGGAGGAAAGACAGCAAATATAAAAAGAGAGATAAGAGATGCAATTTCGAAATCAGCTAAGTCGCTCCACATACATACGGCAGAAAAAGGTCGTCAAGCTAAAATCTAAATCAAATCCATTTGTGTTAGATATACGCTCAAAATTGAATCAAGAATTGAATCAAATACGAATGAAGCGATACAAGCATAAATAAAAATCGATTATCGTTTCTTTAGATCGTAAATAAAATAACAAACTTTGCACTGCATTGATGCTGATGTTGTTGTTGTAAATCTTAAATTGAACTAAACATCAATTAACCAAGCCTTTAATTAGACTTTTATATACCGTCAGAAAAGATTGCTGTAGCAAGAGCCGACAAGATAATTTAAAAATGCAAGAGATTGATGACGGCGTCATTGGATACTTTACAATAACTCTGTTAAGATAACAGAAATACTGCTTTTCTCTACGTTAGCAGTCACACGAATGTTTGATTTCTTATTCTCATTACTTACATGGGTGAAAATTCTATTTTATTAAATATGACGTCGCATTGTTACAAATGTTTACGAAGCAAGACTTTTGGCTAAAAGAACTGTCTATTTATTGTCCACAAAGAATGTTGCTCTTGCACAAAACGATTCTTCCTAAACGAATATGAGTGCATTCATCTAATTTATGCCCATTCCTGCATTATATATACCCTTTAACGAGGATCTGAACTATTATCATTTCCGGCGTTACCGCGGCATAGAAAGCTTCTTTAGTCGAGTGTACTCTAAAATTGCTTCCAACTCTTCCTTAGACTTCCAATACTATTTCATTTTTAGCATAATTATCACAATTCGTGCAAGCGTGGATTTAAGAGGTTTTTAGGCGGTATTGGTTTGGTTATTAGCTGTTTCTAGACGATATTGGTTTGATTATTAGCTGTTTGTAGAAACTAATGCTTTATGGGAAACTCAAAGCAAAAGCAATCATTCCATCATTCCTTTATATATATTTAATTGTTATATACATTTATTTAATATAAAATGAAAATAATTTTTCTAATCTTTTACTTGAACTTTATACTTCTTTAATTGGAGATTTTCTCAAGGTAATTGAATAATCAATATTTTCTAAGTGCAAGTTAGATGTTAATTTAACTACAACCTTCACTTTGCACTTATATACGCTTGGAATTGCGTATGGTGTATATATATCTATATATATACGAAAACAATTCCAAAGATGACATAGCGAATGTAATTTGTTTTCGTTTCGTCGTTTATATAAACTTACATTGAAGATTTCGAAATTTGTTGTTTATCAGATGCTTAAATTAACTTCACTGTAGGCGTACGAAGACATTATTTTTAATTAAAGAAAAAAATATTTAAACCACAGTGAGCCCCGGCGCACCATTAAATACGCTATACCACTCCGCTCAGCTGATTACTCATACAACGACTGCTTTAAATAAGTTGTTATATGGGAAGTAATCGGAAAAGTGGTCCTATCCGAACCATTTTTAGGCACGTTCAGTATAGCGCCAAAACATGTCTGTGTATAAATTTTATCAAAATATCTCAAAAATTGTGAACTGTAGATTGAGCAAAATAAAGCAAAACGAACAGACGCACATACAAGGTTAGATCAACGCAGACAGTGATTTTGGATCGGTCGGTATAATAAAAACTGTGTCTACCAATTCCTTCTGGGTTGCATACATCCGCACAAACTTAATGTGTAAAAATATGTATAAAAAAGAAATTATATCGTGGAAATAATTTATACATAATTAATTTGGTACTGGCGTGTCTCGACCCAAAGACGAACATTATCGAAAATGTTTTGGTTCGATTCATTTTTTCGACCACTTCCTGCATAACGTTCTATTTTTTCTCTTTATGTAGGAAAAATTACAATTTTTAAAATGTCTTCACAAAAGTAGCTGACTAACAGTATTTCGGTATTCTAAATTGGTGTGAGAACTTTGGATCGGCTGGGCCAATTTTTGAACCACATCTCATATGACCAAAACTGAAGTGCATGTAAGGAAAAGGCATAATTTTCAATGCTTCATGATGAAGATCAGATCATAAAAGTAATTTAAGATAAAAAAATTAACTCTACCAAATTTGGACCATCTCTTCCCATTTTTTTGATCCCATCCTAATAAGCATTTTCACGAAAATTGATTAGTTTTAATTAAGAGAACCATAGCACACACGCTTGGATAATATTCTGGGATATCAGCTGCGCTCTTACAATACTTGATGATATATTAAATATATTTGTATGCAAGTATGCTATGTTAAATATTCATGTAAATTATTGTAAGACCTTTTCATATCTTACACCGCTTTTGGTGCAAGGATTTATTAAGTTTGCGTGAACGTATGCAACACCCAGATATATATCAGATGAAGCCACCTTTTCCAATATCAACCGATTCAGATTCATTTTCAATTCAAGGTTGTCTGCCCGCCCGTCTGATATGTCTATGCATTTATTCCTCTGCTCAACGTACAGATTGCAGTTTCTGAGACATTTTGATAACATTTGGTACAATGGCGCGTTTTAGCTGCTTATGGACAAACGCTATTGAAAATGGATGGAAACGGAAGACTTTTTCGGCCATTTCCTTAAGCCTTATTTTTGAAAATTTCGTTATATGAATAATTGTAGGGTGGCGTAGGGTATTTAACTATGACCGTGGCTCACTATAGCGCTTTCACTCGTTTAAATTAAAAAAACGACTTCTTAAGTCTATGGAAAACTTTCATTGACATTTATTGAGCTAACTGATGCTACGTCATTCTCTCTTGCACATACACTTATAAACGTAGACGTGTTCTAGCTTCGTAAATATCTGAAACAATATGTGACGTCATACGAAGAAACATCTAATAGAATTTTTGCCCATATAAATAATGAAAAGAAATGAAAAAAAACAGTCAATTGACTACCAATGTAACAATTATTGCCGTTAACTTAAGAGAGTCATCGAAAAGTACCTACTGGTTGAAATCCCTTCCATTTTTAAATTATCTGATTCACTCTTTTGCTAAGAAGTGTAAAGTTCCCTCTTTTTTTTAAACACCAGCTAAGTTCAGCATCTTCAAGTAACCTTTTATGCCGTTGTCAGCGTTGTACTTGCAATTACTCATATTTTAGAATTCTAATAACACCTTTGAAAAGTAGTAAGTAAGCCAATGCCAAGAAGGAAAACAAACTGTGTGTTGTAAAACATTCTACTTAATATGTCGCAGAGGCCTAGTTGAATTTCAAAAGGTATTGATCTCATATAAATAAAGGGGCAAATGTAAAATAATCGCAATCGACAAAATAATCTGTTATTATAATGCAATGACTCGAGGCTTATATAACCTTCTTATGTAATTTAAAACACAGTTAAGGCATCATGCAAAGCCCACCATTTCTCCCAACAAAATGCTTCATCTATTTTATAGAATACTTAAAATCGGAACTTTTATTCAAATAAGGCAGGCCTTACTTTACATGGGAATCCTTATATGGGACGGAACTTAAAACATGAACGCATGACTATGCTGAAAATTCTTTAGGCAAGTTTTTTTTGTTATCGTAAGAATGTTCATTTGGGGGGAAGCGAAAAAATGGCCCGAAAGGATAATGCACTCGAAGGTATGTTTTTCATTCCTCCCTTTAAAGACTTATCTTTTTAGGCATCAGTTTTGAAATATCGATAAGAAATTTCTCTAGTCACGGCATCTTAATTTCCCAGCGAAGCAGCATAAAATTCTAAAAGAAAAACAACGCAAAACTAAACTTCGACAAGGACTATTATATCTCCTAAACGAATGTCATGTCTTTCACCCATATGCTATAATTCCACCCTGCATCACTAGATACCGCAAGGGTACATAAAGTTTGTATGGCACACCCAGAACGACTAGAAACGCACCCATCTTTCCTTATACCAACCGATTCAAAATCACTTTTTGCAACGATCTTAACTTTTCTACCTCTATGTCTCACTTGTTTTTTTGTGTTCAACTTACTGGTTAGAAATGGTTCGCGTTGGACCGTTTCTTCCACCACTTCCCATATAACAGCCTACTTTAAGAAGTCCTGATATGGATAACTCTATTATGCGAAGTGATGTACAGTATTTAAAGATGGGCCGTATTCCACTATAGTGTCTTGCTTGTTTCAAATTGTATTACTTTGTGAAATGTGTTGCTGCTGCATATGTTTTGTTATAATTACAGTATACGAAATTTTCGCTCACACAGCATATTACCTTTACGATGTTTAGGTAAATACATGATATATCTTATCTGTATTAGCTTTGGAGTAAAATTATTACACATTAACGAAAGCAGCTGATGGTTTTCAAATATTCATTCTAAGCTGAATGCAAATGCCTCTGTTCCCTGTATATTACATCTAAATCCAAATATTATTTGAGAAGTGGGCAAGAGTCACAACTAAAAGAAATTTGACTAAGTGCCAACAACACGAGATGCACAAAGAACATTTATATAAAATAAAAGTGTAATAACAATAAATCGTAAAAACTTATTCTGCGACGGAAAGGAAAGTTAAAAACTGACGTAATTTTTACAGTTATAATTTATAATTTTCAAATTTAATGAAACGTTTCAAGAAGCATTTGCAGTGGGATTAATAAGAGAAATAATTTACAACTTGAATCTAAAAGTAGGCAACAAAAATTTTTAAAATAATCAATCGTATCAGACAATAAATTTTAATTATCGATAAAAATGGTCTACTATTATTTGTAACACAATATATATATATATTTATATATTTATATGTATATATTTATATATATATATATATATATATATATGATATGCATATATTCAATTATACATATATCGTGTATTTTTATGCGCTCATTTTCTTGATGATTTTCAAAATATATTGCATTCGTGATTTTTATGAGAGAAAGAACACACACACAGCACACTCACACCCATACACAAGAAATAAAAAACTCTACAAACCACATATTAACCACAATATAGTTTTTTAAGGCCCAATAATGTCAAGGCAGCGTGTTTCATAAAGATTTTCGTGTTTTTCCTCTTTCTTTCTTTCTTTTTTCATATTTGACCAGTCGCTAAGGTCAAGAGGAAGAGGAGAAAGAACGAGAGTATTTATGTACTTTTGCATTAAATATGGGACTTCGCGAAAGACTACTGCAGGTAGATCGTATCAAAATGACTCAAAAAAGAGCAGCCGTTATAATTTTCATCAGCCATATGACAATTCTTCTAAGATCTTCTTCTTCTTCTTCAGCAATTTAGTAAATCAACAACATATGATTCACTGTGTTAATTAAGAGAGCTCTTTTCAGATTTTTAGAATTTAGGAAATTCTTGTACTGTCTCTGGCAAGTTAACAATTTAGTCATAAAAACAATTCCGTGCTAGATCTTTTGTTTTACATATATTGCCCTACATTACGTTTTAGACAAGAGATAAATAAAAGAAAAGATATTTAATAAGTTTTTTGCGGCGTAAATCAAAATTTTTTCTTTGATTAAAGATTCCGTCATATATTTATGGAAGTAGTGTAAATGTAAAATATGCTGCGTGTACTTGCCAGTCATAACAAAAAGTATTTGTCAGAATTGCTAAACTTCTGAGTCAGATGATGAAAACTTATTGCAAGAAATGTGCTACCTGCCATTCCCCTTTTTTGATGTGAATTGCCGCGTAGTCTGCGTATAGGCTTCTTTTATGCTTTTCTTTTCTTTAAGTCCACTTTTTTCTAAGTTTCACAATAATGGGCTTTTCGTTATCGGCAAAATTGCTGCCTTTTTTAACCATGCACTCTATCTTTTAGAAATATTCCAAAAAGAAAACGCCCAGAATAACATTAAGTGCTACGACTTCAAAAAAGGTGTACTAAGACTTTAAATACTACGTTTGAGTGTTTTAATCAAAGTTATCAAGTTTGTATTAGCTTCTTTTTTGAAAAATATTTGGTCCAAGTATATCTTAATCGATAGACAAATGAATTATATACTCTAGAGAGTTTGAGCGTGGGCGACGGTGTTCAGGCAGTTTGTCGTTACAATTTTAGAAGACACTTATCTGTTTTCAAATCAATATATGTTATAAGTCTTATAGTTTTTCAGGCGTTATGGTCACAGTCGTAGGCGTATATCGCGGCCATCAGCTATTTGTATGCAAGCCGAATGTTCATTTTGTCTTCAGCCATGGCGTTCAAATGACAGCACACAGACGGGCGGGCGGACGTTATTAAATCATCTCCGAAATTGTTGGTGACTAAATATGTATAAATAATTTATAGATGCATTGCGGTGCATACGTCTAATATTAGTGTGGATATGACAGGCTTATGGAAGGTATTAGTGTGGATATGACAGGTTTGTGGAAGGTATTAGTGCAGATATGACAGGTTTGTGGAGTCTAATCTAATCTTTACAAAGCACAAATCTTGTACACTGCGAAAATCAAATTTATTGTAAGGCCTATTATAACGTTCTTCAAAATTATTTGAATTACTTTACAAAAACCTCGACGTCTTTCTGAGTGTTTGTTGAGTAATTTTTTTCTAATTAAGTTGACATCACGTAGAACTAAGAAATAAAAAATATTAATTACAAAACTACCAATGTAAGAGAATTCATATGAACAGGAAAAAAGAGAGATAGAGAGAAGAAGAGACGGTGTCTTTTTTCTTACGTGGTTCGTACTACTCATAGCATGATTAATGAAAAGAATCGTATAAAAAAACAAAAAAAAGTTTCCCAAGGGCCACGGGTGTTTTCCTAACATTAGTTTTAAAAGTTTTCTTAACTATTTCAATTATATTTTAATACAACTTTGATAATAATTTTCCTTATAAACAAAAATTTTTAACAGAAAAACACCACACTTGTACACATAAGCTATATTTCCAAAAAAAAAAAGAAATAACTCGATAAGCTCACTACACAAAATGAATATAACGAGAGTATAACATTATAATAAGAGAAATATAGCTAAGATATAGCAAGAAGAGCAATAAAGTAAGAAAGAAAAAGTGACATACTAGACCACCTAATTAAGAAAAACCGAACGATAACTGATATGAAAATTTATGATAAAGTACTATTTATTTCTCTTGTCCAACAATGTGTTAGTAACTCTTTCGTCCCACTTCGTTAGTTGTTGGTTGATTTGTTGATTATAAATTCTTGTTGTTGTTGTTGTTGTTCTTCTTCTTCTTTTTCTTTTTATTTATGATTTCGATGACAATAGATTACAAGAGAATTCTACAGTTAAATAGAGTATATTTCTGTTATTATGTTACTATCACCGATTTAGTCATTTGGGCTCAAAACCGATATGACTAACAGTACGATTTCACGTAGTATTTACAAAAAAAAGAAGAATTTTACACAAGGCACACACACTTACGGGCACACGTAATTAACATTAGCTCACATTCGGTGTCGGTATTGGCCGACTGTCTGGCCAGCCATTTAGTTTAATTGACTGACAGCCAATGTGTGCTGGCCTGGCTAAAGGCTATGACGAAATTTTTGGCCTCTTTCTTTTCAAATATTTTGCAACTAAAATAAAAACACTCATACACTTACACACACGCACTCAACGCACACTCTATATAACATTATTCGATAATCACTCTCCAAGTTCAAATTCTACTCGTTTGTGCATTTGTGTTACTGATTTTTTTTTTAATAAATATATTTTATTTTTATTTACAAATAGCAAATCACACGCCTTTTCATCTCGCTAAAAAAAAAATGTTATTGCTTTACAAAAATTTGATATTTTCACAAATTTGCTTTTTCTCTTTTTTTTCTTACTTATCTTCTTCTTTTCTTCTATTGATCTATTGGATTTTTTTTTTTACCTCTTTTCGTGTGTTTCGTCTCCGATTCTTTCGCAATTTTTTTTTCTCACACACCCGCACGACCTTTTTTGTATTTTTTTTTCAACACATAACTTTACTGTTTTCCTTTCTTATGATTTATCTACTTTTCGAAATAAATATGTTCTTTTTTTTTTTTTTTGTTTTTAAACACAATTAGTGGAAAGTGAATTAAATAAACTCACTTTCTTAGTAACGTTTTCTTTTATTCCTCACTATCTCTGTATATATTAATTTACTATTACTACCAACGATAAAGATAAAGAACTTGCTGCTGTCGGTGCACAAGTGCTTTTTACATTTTTCCAAATTCATCATTCATTATTCATAGTTTTCTCTGCTTTTCTCTCTACTGTTTTAGTTTTCGCGAATTTTTACATAATATTACGTATTAAAAATTTCTTTTATTTTCAATTTATAATGTTATAATTATTGCAAATATTTTTTTTTGTTTAAATTGGATCCTTTTTCGCTTATTAGTACATAATTCGTTGAAAAATTTACCTAAAAAGCACACATACGAATACAGAAATTCTTTTACTTCTATTCTTACGTTGTAAGAAAGCAGTATTGCCATGCATTAAAAAAAAACTGATACCTACAATATCACAACGAATTAAAAAATAGTACTTAGAATTAGTGACGAGTTCTGGCAAACATCGATATTGCCGATAAAAAGTTACAACGGCGAATAACAACCCTGATTGAAAAACCACTATTTTTGTGTTTATGTTTTTTGTTGACTTTGCAAATTCTGCAAATTCTGATGTTTGTTTTTTTTATGCTCAGAACACGTATCTTGTATTCTCAACAGTATTTCAGGGCATTATACAAATGTACAAAAATATATTTTTTATTATAAAAGTGAGACCATATGTATTTTGTTACTTTAGAACTTGTACCGTCTGTATTTTGTTGTTGTATTTTGTGCATATGTTTATTTGTTTACATACTTTAGAATTGTTACTATTCGTTTATCATAATTTTTATATATTCAAGTGTTGATATTAATTTTTAGAATCTTAGATATGGAAAAACCTCCAAATTCACTTTTTTAAATTTCGTTTGTGCATGAATTGCATTGTTGAATGATAAGATTTAAATGTAGCAAATATATGTTAGTGTTTACAAATAAAATATTAAACGATGAAATTCTTTTCCTAATCCAATTTCACACTTTTAATGAATAATTTTATCAGCGAATTGTATATATTAAGAATATTTTAACTTTGCGATACATACTATTTAAATATTGAACAACCAAATTTTGAAAAGTACGAATCATGAGGAATCTGATCAATACATTATACGCTTGGTTAGTTTATAACATAAGGGTACACAGGACACCCCTTAGGTTGCGGGGGTTCTGGTGAAACAACTTTGGCTGCCAATATACTTGGCCGATGGGGAGAACTACTCCGAAACAAGTCTACAATGAAGAAGTTCCTTTCGAAAAACAAAACGATGTAAATAAAGCTGTAATAAGCCAGTTCAATCTATTTTCCTTTCTTTCATTTCTTTTTTTTTCCATTTTTTATATTTTCAAATAATTAAAAGACAAGCTTTAAGTACAAGTCATAAAAAGGAAAAGTAATATTTATTCATCAACAAAAATTTGAATGGATTTAAATTGTTAGTTGGATATAAAATAAAAGAAAAAAATAAAAAAGCTAGCTTTTTAATTTTTAGAAAGCTTAGAGTATACTTTCTGGTCGTATAGTATACTTTTCTGGTCATATAGTATACTTTCTGGTCGTATAGTATACTTTTCTGGTCGTATAGAATACTTTCTGGTCGTATAGTTTTGACAGCTTCAATGATTAACAAAACTTATATATGCACGTAAGCGAAAGAAAACTTTAAGCTAAAAAATTCAATGCCTTTCTTATTGTTGGAGTCAATTCCGTACTATCCCTTCTATTCTGTTCAGAGCAAATTTTCCGATTCATATCTGGTGGGGAACCTCAAGATCAGGATGGACGGACAAGATGTTGGGTGTCGGATGTGGAGCCTGTGTTCATTAAGCTCAAATAGATCAAATGGATCAATAAACCGCTGCCGCTATTACTACATACTATCGTATAGCCTGAGTATTGAAAGATGTGTTCATTACAAAAGTCAATACAACTCTGTTTTATGTTTATTTTGTTCACGGGTCGATTTATATTGAATAAAATTTTTCGCTAAATAAAAAAAAAGGTAAACATAAACAAGAAATCATTGCGCATACAAAAAGTTGAAGACTTCCTACCGCTCGATCTGCGCCATTTATTTTTGTCACTTTTCATTCATAAAAAAGGTATACAATGCATGCTTTCCCAAACGGCACTTTTATGTTATTCTTAATGTTGTTTCTTGTTTTGCAGGCATCCTAAATCAGGAACAGATCCTATTACAAACCAAAAAGAAAGTGAAAAGAGAAAATAAGACAATTCACGTAGTAGCACTTTGTGAAGTGAATTCCATTCTTGAATTTGCTTATCCAAATTTCCATTATTGCAACAGGAGGCATTACCATCTTATTTACATTTCAATAATGGATACTTGTAAAGGATGCAGGCCAGGAGGAATCGGAGGAATCACTTCTGTCTTAGATTATCTTTTGAGATACTTCTTTGAACGCTTTACAGTTAAAATGCAACCGAATTTAATTTTAACATCAAGCCCTCTGCAGATGAAATGCATTTCGAGTGTTCATATTCGGAAGTCATTTAAGAAGTTGCATCAGCCAAACCTGCGGACAGGCAAAATCTACTGAAGTAACCTATTTTATAATTAAGAATCACTTGTATGCTAACTTGAAATTCGGCATTGCGTTTAAAATTGCGTCCTATTCCCGATGTTCCAAGTAAAAATGGACGTTCAGGCCTTCAGTATCTGCAAGCAAGATCCAAAAACAGATATTTTAATATCTTTATGATATCTGGACATGTGATTTCAGTGGATCCAAATCAAATTGTAAAACTTATTTGCATGGTTGAACCAAATTTCCTAAAATTTTCTTAAACCGTTTTTTTTGCGAAAGGCCCTATAAATCGGCTTTTACCAAAACTGCGTATTGAGTGAATAACAACATCAATGATTTGCAACCAATATTTCGAATGGTGCGCAGTCTAAGAAAGACCAATATTCAATCTAGCAAGTAGTTTTAATGAAACACAAAGAAAGAGATCCCAAAGAGTCATCCTGTCTGAAACTGTCTGTGTAATTTATCTGGGCGACTAATTAGATTAGTGAACGAGCATTTTTAAAATAGTCGAACAAAAAAATTTGCTTTCAAAAACTAATTTAAAAAATCTCTTAAGCGTTGAAGTTGCTTTTGCACTCGTGCTTCTATAGTTAGGTGGAGTTTTTCAACCGCACGTTCGTCAGATGAGTTATTTTTAGTCTCTTTACACATCCCTTTGGACATTCGGTTTGTATTAAAATGCCCGGCTGCGTTTGCTTCATGTCTCAAGTTAATTGGCACAAACGTTAAGTTGAGCTGAGAATTACAATTCTAAAGTACCACCAAATTCCGAAAGGATGTTAAGGTAGTAATACTTCACTAGTATTGAAGAAATATCGATAAAGTCGAGATTTACAGACCACGAAATCAACCAACGGAGAAACAGCTATCAAAGATTTGACAACTCTAACAAGGGTGTATCCCATTGATTCTTGAAACGGATTTTATTGAGTCAAGCACATTATTGAGTCAGGGTATTACGTTAGCCTTTCCAAGCATGTCCAGCCAAAAAAAAAATGCTTATTTTAAAATCCTTCTGTCTAGCGCGTGGCTAATCTTGCCAGCTAGTCCGGGAGAAAAGCTGGCCATTTCTAGGACGAAAATAAATGCATTTTTTGTCAAAATTAATTAGAAATGTGAGTACATTTGCTCGCCAGGTAGAAGGGTCTATCCTTTCTCGTATGTGTGGCTGCGAATCTCGATTGTTACACCAAACATTTTACGAATTTCATGTCATGTGAAGCTTTGCCATTTTACCTTGGACAGATACAAATTTTAAGTTTCGAATTCTTGGAAAGGGATCAAAACAGATGAAAAACAGTATAAAGCGTCTAACAGATTTCTGTAATCGAGGGACATGGAAGAACTTTGCTCGTATAACAATCGTAAAATGATTGACCTTGCTTTCTACGCATTCCTCTAAAGAGAATTAACTAGAATTTGCTCGGATGAATCCTCATTGCAAGTTTTGGTATGCAAATTCCAGCAATCTTCAGAAGAATGAATTTGCTTTAATGTTGTATTTGTATCTTACGCAAATTAGCCTTATCTCTGCTGCTCCTTGAAAGCAAGCCAATCATTTATATTTCGCATGAAATTTGCATAACTCCTCGCATGGATGCATACGTCCGCATCTAATAATCGGAATTACGTTATATTTCTTCAGCTGAGAGAAGTGCTGCTTTCTTGTCTACGTAGACTGTCGCTCGTCTTCTAATTTGTGTTCCCAGACCACCTTTTCACCTTCTTTCGAGGCATCATTGCTATTCTCATGTTTAAGCGTTCTCATTACAGGAAGCTATGAACGAACATCTTATGTTTTACGAAAATGAAAATTGTGTCACCTCGCAATTGGGCATATAATGCATACAAATAACAAGTTTAGACGAATGAATTAGGACTAATAATAATGACACCAATATATCTATTAGCGTGATAAATTGTTTTATTTGTTCATAGGTTGCACTTTATAAATCATGGCGAAACTAGTTCTTCTTCTTCTCTGTTCATCGAAAAGGAAAATAAATCGATAACACGAATGCAAGTAAAACATTTAAGGGTGGTCAGATGCTGTCAAAATGTAATATAAACAAAAAATCTAAGCAATCAACGGGTGGAACTAATGCATCAAGTTTTCTTATTATTATTATTATTATTATTATTATTTTAATTTTAGACTAATGAAATGAATTCTTAGACTAAAAAAAAGACATTGAGCACTAGCAACACAGGCTATCGGCTTCAAGTTTTCTTACTTATACGATTTCTGCAAGAATTACATTTTCTAAGTTCATTCCACATCCTTATCGTGATATCGTTTTGTTCCTATCGTGCTTTTGTGTTTACTTGCTTTTGTGTTTACTTACATGTAGAAAGAAGGGGAAATTAGAGAAACGCAAACTTTTTTCGACGTTAATTATATGTTTCTCTTTATTCTATTATCATTAAATGAAAAGTGTGCCAGCACATTTATTATGATATAGAGCAGTAATATAATGCGTTTATATGATCAAATAATGCGGTAACATTACCAGCCCAAACACAATGACGCTTGTAAACTGTAGTAGCGTGGCACAGACAACTTTGTAATACATCTCAAGGTTCGAATATTTGTATCTTTGATTTTGATAGAGGTTTCAGATGGGATATATCATATTTTGTTGGTAAATAGCCATTATCCAAATGTATTCCACAAAATGCGTACACTAACCATAAGCTTATGTATTGGTTTCTTTATTTTTACATCTCGAAGCTTATGCTAGCTTTTCCGCAGTGTTTACTTGGGACCTTGAGTTTTTTTGGAACTTAATTATCCAAAGAAGGCAATCAAACCTGATTGTTTATATTGATCTCTTTACTTTTACTTCCCAAACTATATGTTAATAAAGCAAATAAGGCCTTTTATATGCTAGCTGTTGTTAGCCAGTAAAGCAAGCAAGAAAGGAAATTTGTTATCCCTTTTTAACTTCAGTAATTTCGGATTAAATAATGCTACGTACAACGTTAGATGAAATTTTTTTTCTTGATTGCGTTGTAAATGGCAGCCAATTTTCAGCCAAGTCAACGCAGTCAAGTTTTATTCTTCGAACTTTATGAATTCATTCTATATACGTGGCAACATTTAAAATGAATTCAGTGCAATTTTGCTTGGTTTGGTAA